AGTAACTTCCAAGATACTAACAGTAACAATGTAAATATTTATGTTTTTCAGACAATAGGTACTTCGTAAAGACCATGCAGTCACACACATGGTATTAAAAATCATTTATGATCAGTGAAAGTGACTGAGAGTTAGTTGGACTTGACAACATGTAGTTTTGACTTACAAAACAGGTTTTGAAGACAAAAAGTTTGCAATTTGGGACTTGAATTTGATATTAGCAAGTCTAGATTCGAACTATAAACCTAAATTTGACGATTGTTTATCAATATACTTAAAACAAGACCTGAAATCACCACGCGATACAAGTTCAACATAACGTTTTGAGGTTAGTCAAAAATTTATGATAATTTACCTGAGTACGGTTGACGAGGGTCGTGCCGACTTGTCTCTTGTTGAACATCGACGGTGCCTTGACATCGTACCAGTCCTTGCGTGTGAACGGGTCTACACTGAAATCAACACACAAAATTTAACATAACCTCAAAGACAACTTACCAAAAGTTCCTATATCCAGCATTTACACTTTGAAAAACTAACACAAGTGGCTTGAAACACACGCCGGTAATTGTAATTAGAGTAGACAGAAGACTCAAAAGTTTCAGAAGTACAAAACACTTGTCGAAATCATCTGACACGAGACGTCGATTTTTAATCTTGAAATACTAAATTGATCATTACAGAACTGAACCCATGTGTAAAGGAATTCGTTAGTATATCGAGTAAACTAACGAATTACGCGTTTATTGCAGACTTACATCTTCTTCTTAACACCTTTCTTTCCGCCTTTCGAGAGGCCTTTATTTTTACCGACCGCCATGTTCACACACAAACTTTGGAAAGACTATTTTTTGTTTATGCCCGTCAGCCGTCAAACATTATTGTCTATGATCTGTCAAATTTAATGTTGCCAGTACACCAACCTTCAAAATCTACTAAATTATATCTTTGCAAGCAAAAATGTGATTTCAAGGTGAAGTTGACTTTTTCAGGTAATCTAACATTTTGACCTACGTTCAGGTGAAAACAATGATATTTTCACACTTTTAAATTAAATTAAAATTATAAGCCTGACCAGGAACATAAAAACCCTCGCCATGTTGCGGAAAACTAATGGTACTAATTTCTTTTAATGGCAACAGTAACTGAAAACTTCATTGACATGTCACCTTGCATGTCAGTCTATTGTTGTCAAAGTGTAAACAAACTTTATTTTAAATGTGTGCAATTGATTTTGTGAATTAAATTGCTAAAATATTTTTATAGTCGTGAAAGAAAAGTGGTTCACGATGTGTTAATGTATTTGTCGAAGAGAAATACTAAGGGTTCGGACAATATTTTCATTGAATAATGTTTCCGACAAAGGTTGTCAAATTGACTGACATGTTTATCGTATGGTACAGTCCACTATGAAAATTAGCTGTAGTCTGTTTCAACTACCTATTTTAAAGTTTTTTGTCACTTTCTAAGTTTTGAATTTTATGGAATTGGGAAAGAAGTACCGAGTTTGAAGCGTTCATGAGCAGACATTGCAGTTGAATATTCATGTTCTGAATTTGATTATTGATGAATAATAAAATAAATCCTACTAGCTCGATTGATGGTTTCATTTAATTTATTTAAACCAGGTTATCTTTAATAATATTTTTCGTTAATTTATGAAAATATCAAATTAGCCCGTAACCCTGAATCCTGATACATAAATTTAGCCTATTAAAATTTAACACATGTACGACTGTACTCAGTGTTGCACTATCAAATGCAATTGAAGCGCCTCTGTGCCAGGGTTTTTATGTTCCTGGTCAGGCTATAATATTGTGGACCTATTAGTGATGTACCGTGATGCGCGTGACCAAGAATTTGAAAGATACGGGGTGCTGCGGGCCTGCGGTGAGGTTTTTGCATATTTTATTGCATAGATCTTATTCATATTATTTAATTAATTATTATGCTATAAAATAACAACAATAGCTATTCGTTAAATGTTGTTTATTTAAATGAACAATAAAAAAATAAGTTTTAAAAAAGTATACGATTGAGGTACGTTTTCCGATTTCATCCCTCCTCTCAATATAAAAATTGTTATGCTGCGTTTACACTGCGCGGAAATTAGCCGAGTCAAGTCAAAAAAACAGTGGAGTAGGGATGAATTATGAATGAATTTCATCCCCACTCCTCTGTTTTTTTGACTTGACTCGGCTAATTTCCGCATAGTGTAAAAGCAGCATTATACTAGCGCTATTTTGATAATGGAGTTGGCTATCTAATGATTTATCGAAACGCAGAATGCAAATGGCATTATTTAGTAAAAACGATGCTCAGTGGATAGTCAGTCCAGACTAAAAATAAAATAGTTATTCCCAGTTGCCCCCACTGGAGACAAAAGGGAATTTGTCCCAGGCCGTTAGAAAACAACGTTCAAGTAACAACGTTCTCGTAAACGACTATCACCGACTACGACTATGAATCACAAAAAATAATGCGAAACTTATCTCATCAGTCTATTTAAAAAGATCAAGAAAGAAAGAAAGAATCTAGACAAGTGGCACTTTTTGATTGAATCTCAAATCCGTTGTTGAAACTCCATATAAAAAGGCTCTTCGACATAAAACTCACGTTTTGCGACTTGTCCGTGGGGACGGCAGCTATTGAAAGTTTTTATGTAGCAGATACGTCAAGGCATGCACTTATTAAGTAATTAGATAAAAATATGGAATAAATAATACCTACTTCACAATGAAAATACTCAGAGGATAATTAATAAAAGACATGTAGTAATTATTTCAGAACATTTTATTTGCTTTAAGCATAATCAGCTTCACAATCTACTCAGACCAACTGTTCAAATTTCGAAAAACAAACTACCTGGGTATTTCGCCAAAAATGGTCAATTTTGCCTAATTTCCTTGGCACGAATTTTATTTTTGTTTTTAACTATTTTTCCCATTGCATTAAGTAGTAAAAACTAAGCTAATATATTTAAAGGGGGTGTCATAATTCGTTTTAGAAACAAAGTTATGAGGTAATACATTTTTGGTAGCCAAGGAAATTATTATAAATATTTTTTTCTCTAAGTTTTCTTCAGGGGTTTGCTTTTTTTTTGTTCGACCTATTTTTGTGTACTTTCGCAAGCAACCATGCCAATGAATATTATATCATTACGACCTTTTTACACAACTAAGGAAGATAAATGCAGTAGATTGAGTTAAAAGTTAAAAACAAGTTTTTCTATATCTATTCTCATACCTATTTCTTAAAATGTAAATTTTAAACTTATTCCAATGAAGAAATACTCAAAATTTGACTTAACGCCGAATTATTAATGGTCTTTTATAATTTCCTAGGTCATTTTATGCCACGGAAAACAAGGACATTAGGACCAAAGAAATTAGATTTATGCCTAAAAGACACCACAGACAAAAACCTATTTACTATTTAAATCATGGGTTTACCCCTACAGACAATACATTTGTGTAAATAAACGATAAAATTAATCCATTGTTTAGTTGCAAAAAACCGTCCAAAGAAATTGACTTTTTAGTAAACAAAAACCCAAGGAGGGACCTATTTATGCGATTTGTCGCGAAACTGATCGACGACGTACTGTCCTGCCTCAATGGCCTCTTGGGACGAAATGGCCGAGTGTAGTGGTGCAAAGCATTACATTCTAAGTTTTTTCGTTTCGTTACAACAATGGTCGAAACGAAGACCCAGGGAAATTATACTTTTGACCTGGACAAGAACTTAGCTTCACTTTATTTTCTTCCTATAAGTATTTGACATTTAAAGTTTTTATTTTCCGACAGCCAAACGTTTCTCAAATGTAAAGAGAGTGCTATTAGAATTAAATTACGCTTCAATTTGTTATAATGAGCCTTTATTTTGGCAAACAACAGTAATGGACATAACAAGGAAATTAGAAAAACGACTTTTGATTAAGTTTTTCTACGGTATTATTTGTAGTTTCTGCTATTGTAATAGCAAAAACAAATAAAACTTTTGATGAACTTTCCCATAAAAATAGTTTTATACAGATAGATATAAAAAAAAACATGTGTTCGCTCGCCTGCCTGGACACAGAAAATTTACTGTTTTCAAATCAAATCAAATCATTTATTGCATTGCATTACATGTGGTTTGATAGTTGGTGAATGGTAGGGCAGCGCATCACATGCACCCTGCAAGGGCATAGCAAGCATTAAGTATACATTTTACAAAATAAAAGAAGAAGTTACTGTTTCGGCGAAATACCCATCTATTGTTAACATAATCAATGTCTAATCTATGTTAAGCTGATAAATCTAACAGCACATGAGTAGTTCTTCAGTTTCCACAATGGTCCCTCTCCAACAATCGCATCTGTAAAAAAATGAAAAATAAAGTTAGACATGAATTTGGCAAATATTGAATGACGATTAAAAATGCTTTTGAGATCATAATATTGTGCCAATTAAAATTGACATGACATATTCATCAGTGTGGAATAAGGAGCACATTTTTGGACTTCAAATACTTAGTTGTAGTATAGGTAGGTATATGGCAGTCGCAGTTCTCACCACGCTTTATTAACCTTAAAATGCCTTACTAACCTTAAAATGATCCGCATTTTTCGTTCATCAATGCTTGTTTCTAGTTTTCTCATGATTTCTATTGACTCAACATAGGGTCAAACACGGCGGCGGCAAACAACTTCAAAAACATGGTTCTTCAGGTATTCTGACTGATGCGATTTATTACCCTAAAACAAAGGAAAAACTTATTGAAACACAAAACTCAAGAGTAAATGAAAGTTAAATTTGCAAAAAAAGATTTTTTCAGTGGTAAATCAAAAGGGAACAAATGTTTTCATCAGTTCTGTGTCATTGCGAGCTAGGTGGATCATCATTTTGGTTATTTTACGTAAAAGTGTGGTAATTTTTCACTCTTGTAAATTTTTTGTCGCGTTAAATTCTTTCAATAAACTGAATTAAACTAATTTCTTTTTTTTTTATAACTCAAACAATAAACAAGAGCTGAAATTACCACGCGATAGAAGCTTCACTTCCAATTTTTTGTTACACTGATGGAAAGTATGTGAAGGTTAAGTTACCTGGTTACTACGGTGGTATCCACGTGTCTTTTGATAGCCGTAAACAACGCCTTAACGCCGCAATCAGCACCTTGGTTGTGAACGGATCCATACTGAAATCATAAAGTTAAATACATTGAACATAACCTCAAAAGGCAGCAGCATTTTACCGAACAATAAAGAAATTATGCCTACATACATTTGTGGTTTAAAAAACAACTAGGAAATTAATTTAAGAAATCGAATCAAAAGAAAAATTAATCAAACAGTTTAGAAAATGAAGATCACATTATTTTACAAACACCAGAAGACATTAAATGATTTTGTATCTTGAAATATTAAACCAATCATCACAGATCTGAAGAATATTATCAAATTATTCATACCTAAATTGAATAAATTATTAACTTATGTTAATATTAATGCAGACTTACATGGTTTTCTTGCGAAGAATCAATAAAACTTCATAAAAGCTTTGTTGCTAGCAGTGGTGTTGTGCTATGCATGCATGCATGCACTGCTGCGTGGGGTTAAGTGGCGTATCTGTCTCATCTGTGGTATGGTCTCTATGGGTATTGTGGTGTTGGCTGTCATATGTCAAAACTGACATTTGTCAATGTCAAATGCCTTGAATTGTTTATGGTCTGTCAAATCAAGTGTTGCCAGTAGTGCAAATAAACATTTCTCAGTTTAAAAATATTCTCGTGTGGCACCCATGTGTGTGGAAAAGTGTCCTAAACTAAAAGTATAGGTAACCCTACAGTAATTGGGCACTTTTTTCACTATTTCAGAACTACATATTGTTCAAAGGTATGAAGTGTAGGTGGATACCTACTCATTCGTAGCTTGTTATTTTATCAAACAAAGGTGAGTATGCTAAGCATGTATAATGGTTATGTTTTATTAACATATCACAAATTGGGCACATTTTTTCAACAATAAGAGGAATATTCCTCTGATTTCCATGTTGAGTAATGCGTACCTACGTATATTTGGACAATTTTGTCGTTTTCTTATCTTCACAGGTGTGAATGGATAATAACAGCATTTGCTGTGATAAAGTCGACATTTTATCTAATCTTTAAGACTTATTGCATCCTACAATGATGCCGCACAAAAACACTTAACACGTTTACTGCGGGAGCTTAAAACTAAGGTCTTTAAACTGGTGCGTCACGGGGAACATTGCACCCCTTTAATATACTACTTCAACGTGCGTTACGGGTATTAAAATGCCCCGTACACCTACAATGTGTTAATCACCTATAACTTTATGAAATTTTACTTTTTTTTATTTTTATTTTTTTATTAAATAAATTATTACATAGGCTATGATAATCTCGTTTCGTAAGTAGATACGAAGTATAAATAAATAAATTAAAAACCAAAGAAAATTCGGGACACATTGAACCCCGTATCGCACTATTCATATTAAAATACGAGTATTTTGTGCCCCGTAGCGAACAAAAACATTTTTTATCGATAAACGATAACTTTTATTTAAAAAAAAAAGTTTAATCAGTATCCAACATGGGTCAAGTTGTAAAGCGGTTGAAAAGCCGAGTCTGCTGGTTATATGACAATATTCTTTAAAATTGTGAGCTTAAAATTTTATTTATTTGGACTTCTAGGAAAATTGACTTCTGGGACTTGTCCTTCACTCTGATTCACATTACGTAATTCTTGATAATTTTGTCCGGTACTAAGGCTCGTGATAATATCATATTGAACAGGTGTTGAAAGCCGCTGGAAAAACTTTCGCAACATTGGTGAAGAAGCTGACTGTCGGTGGGATGACCTTGGTGGAACGGGAGTTTCGTCATCGTTTTTGTTACGTGACATTTCTAACATACGTCGTGAGCGCTTCATTATCGATATTTGACGTCACGTCTGTCACTGCACATAAGCCTACAACCCCGTACGGGCGCACGATAAATTCGTACGGGGGTTTTCAGCCCTGTATCGCACTAAAAGGTAATTTCTACTGTCTGGTCGGTACGGGGTTCATTAGACCCCGTATATTTTTATAATGTCAAAAAGCTTCATAATTCACAAACAACACAAAAATATAGTTATCTCTTTCACACTGCTGTAAACACCAGAGATACAATACAACTCCCGCACCAGAGTGAACAAACACTATTTCTAGTCCCCAGTGGCGGATTAAGAGTATCCGAGGCCTTAAGCACAGAGCCTATGTAGGCCCTCTATTGCTTAAATGGAAATGGAAGGAATGGAATGGAAGGTAGAAAGTATAAAATGAAAGTTCATCAAAATATAAAGTGTAGTAGGTATAATTTAAAACTTAAAACATTTTTTTCCTTGCCATAATCAGAGCAAACTCCGAGATTTCAGTAGTTTCAATCAAAGCCACTCCGTAAACAAAGTAGGTAGTAGGTGCGGTAATGCGTATGGGCGCTATCATTTGCAATGCAAAGACAACTCACTCACTCGGTCTCGCGGCGCACACAGGTGAAATTTGCTCAAAAGTTTGCCAAAATTACGTTAAGTGTGTTTCTGCCTATATATTGCTGTAGTCTGCCTAAAATAATAGTTTAAAGGTGATTTCGGACATATTGTGGATGAATCTCGATAAAATGTAGGTATGAAATGAAACGCCAGCAGAGGATGGAGGCCCCTGAAGAACAGGGGCCCCAAGCACGTGCTTGTAGTGCTTATACGTTAATCCGCCACTGCTAGTCCCGCACTGGGGAAAAGTCGTGCACGGGGCTGAAAGGGCCCCGTAACGCAGTGAACGTGTTAATAGTTATAGAGTTATCAGTCTCTAAATTTTACGCCAGGTGTTTTAGACGATGCACAGTGTGTTATGGGACTGTATAAACGGACATTCTCATTGATTTGATGAAACGTATAGAGCTCAGTTATACAAACATGATAGTAAAAGTCCCGTTTGAAAATTCCAAGTAGCTAGTTTTCGCGGTATAAAAATTCAAAGTTACCTATTTTTTTACTTCAAAATTATGCAAAAATATTCTCACTCGTTAACTAATAACATTTAATTCAGTATTGTTATAATACTTCATAGAGCTCTTAAAACTACACGTAATAAGCATATTAAGTGCTTCGTAAACGTATTCAGTTAATTAGGAAAAATGATTTTAATGATTTTTGGTTTTATTTTTTTTCTCAATTATACCTTAATATATGCAAACATTTTTAATTGCAAGATATAGTCTGATATTTAATCTAATTGTATAAAAAAAATCAGCCTTAAACTCCGTGATATATTTGAGGAAAATCAAATTGAAAACATGCGAAATATAGAATTGTAAATTTCCCATCACTTTTTAATAGCAATATTTCTTTTGGATGTTTAAATATCATCAGCTCGATTGTACCAAATTATTGTATTGACATTCGATTTACATAGGTTTCAAATCGATGAGATAATTATTAAAGGTAGGCTAAATTCGACTTCCTAGATTTGTTTACATACTTTTTTAGTTAGTTACTTACATACAACTTAAGTTAATATAAGAGTGTTAAAAAATAAAAAAGACTCGACTTGAGAACCTCCTCCTTTTTTTGAAGTAGGTTAAAAACAATGTGAATGTGACTTTTTAGAACCTTCAACACTATGCACATAACAGGCGGGATTTGAAACTTTTTAGACATGAATTATTCTTTCCAAAATTGTCGACCCTAGACGCGTAAAAATTTTATTAAGACGTTTTATGTTTTTTCTCAAATATATCACGGAGTTTAAAGCTGATTTTATTAATACAATTAGATTAAATATCAGACTATATCTTGCAATTAAAAATGTTTGCATATATTAAGGTGTAATTGAGAAAAAAAAATAAAAACAAAAATCACTAAAATCATTATTCCTAATTAACTGAATGCGTTCACGAAGCACTTAATACGCTTATTACGTGTAGTTTTAAGAGCTCTATGAAGTATTATAACAATTCTGAATTAAATGTTATTAGTTAACGAGTGAGAATATTTTTGCATAATTTTGAAGTAAAAAAATAGGTAACTTTGAATTTTTATTACGCGAAAACTACGTGGAATTTTCAAACGGGAGTTTTACTATCATGTTTATATAACTGAGCTCTATACGTTTCATCAAATCAATGAGAATGTCCGTTTATGCAGTCCCATAACACACTTTGCGATGTTATAAATTTATACAATTAATTTGATTTTTCACAACCTAGTAAATATGAAGCATAAATCTAGGCCCTAGGGCTTGTCGCTATCAATTAAATTAAATTAAATTAACTACCTTTCATAAAACATGCTATATATTTTTCAATAATATTTTAGGGCCCATATGCATTATTGTGCCCCATAAAAGACTTGGTCAAATCGCTTCAGTCTCAGTAGTTGTTGGACATTCTGTATCTTTTCAAAGACAAGAAGGGGATGGATTGATGCACGCACGATGCACATTGCGCTTCACCCGGCCCCGCCCTATTTTTTTATCGTTGGCGGGTTGGCTGTGTCTCATCTGTGGTTGGCTGTCACTTTATCAGTCATCATCAGTCACCTCACCGGTTTGTCAAATCTGTCAGTTGAATTTTTGTCGTGTGGTGCGATGCACGTACTGGAATTTTAATTAATCGAATTTACTTGGTATAAACCCGGTTTCTTGTTATTTTAACCAAATTAGCTTACTCTCCTTAGTTTTGTGGTATACAGACAGCATTTTAAAGGAGGTGGTTATGAGTTTCGAGCTGTAAATTCAGTTGCTATTAAAATGGGAGCCAAAGTGTCTAGGAATGATTTTGAGTGGGTCTACACAGAGGAGCCGCATGCTAGCCGCCGGAAAATCATCTTAGGTACGTTATTACGTCATATTATATGCTATTCAGGCCGTACTGTAGTGTCGTACCTAGTTACCAAGTAGTGACAAAGACCGTAGCTGAATAGATTTCGTCTAGTGAGTTCTGTACATGTTTACTTTTAATGAAATTTAGCAATGACGTCATATCTTTCAGCTTACACATTCTATGGGCGGAACATTTTCGTTAGTGTCCGACCGAATATGGATTTTCAGCCGAAAACGGAAACGAAAACGAAGCTTCGGCTGCAGTCTCATTTTCGGCCGAAAACGAAAACGAAAACGAAAATGACCTTCAACTCTTAAATTTCAATCTGAAATTATGTAAAAACTTTGAAAACCGTTAATATTTTGACCAAAAACATAATGACGTTTGACAGTTGATTTTCATAAGGATTGATTAAAGAAAACCAGCATTAAAACACAAAAAAAATAATCATGAATTCTTAGTAGAATATTATATCCGGTGTATATTGAAATATTGGGAAGTGAAGAAGAAATAAAGGGTGTCCAGTGGGAATTTTTCAACTTCAAAAATGTATACAAATAAATAAATTATTTTTTTATTATTTATTACAAATACAAACTGGAGTTTAACAATTGCTCAACTGCGAACGCTCTGTAGGCTCCCGACCAGTGACTCATGGCGTATTTCAAATCCGCATTAGACTCTATTTTGAAACAATTAAACTTAATGAAAACTCTTTGGTTTTATTTGTATTCAATTTTGAACTTGGAAAATTCTCGCTGGACACCCTTTACAACGTAACCTCACTTCACAACTTCAAAAGAGTGTGACAATACCGCGTCCGTTCAAGTCTGATTGGAATCATGAGTGCACCAGATTCACTCCCGAAGATATCGGAATGATAAACGTCACCATCTTATTCACGCATTTCTGATATTCGGTTTGGCCGAAGCTTCGGCTGGTTTTTGGCCGAAAACGAAAATATGGCCGAATGTCCATTTTTGGGCCGAAAATGGCCGAAAACGAAAACGAAAACGAATATTCGGTCGGTCACTAATTTTCGTATAAAAGTAGTTACAACTTTGATAACACTGTTGATTTATTTTATAGGTAAAATTATTCAAAGTAAATATGTAGATGACTGGGTAATATACCTACAGATTTTTTTAAGCATCTAACTATTAATTTTAATATAAGGAATTTCTTCATGATTGCCTTGGAGTAACCAAATATTGTAGTTTTTTTTCTAATTGATTCTGGAGTCAGCAGTTTATTATTTCATAACATTTAAGTTGGTTGAACTAAAAGCCATATTATTATTATGATTGTTCACATTTTTGACTCTTGTAGCCCTAGCCTGGTTTGCACCATCTCACTTTATAAAAAACTTAAAAAGTCTAACTCCATATAAAAACAACAGTTATGGTTATAGTTACAGAGCAAGGTCCAGTGTAACTGCCTAAATATCTCAGAGGATATTCATATGCAAATGCAATTATAATCTTGTAAAATCTTTGCAAAGAGGCTGACAATAGTGACTGGGTTACTTGCGCTGCTTCTTCTCAGCACTGGCCCATAATCTCAAAGCAGTGGTAGAGTTGGTATGGTTTTTTTAATTGAATACAATCTCTAGACTAGCCCCATACCTTTTTGTTTAGAAATTTTTTGAAGTTTACATAATATTTCGCTCCTTTGGTGGTTACAGATATGGTGGTATGTAAATCTATCACTAGGGTATTAAATATAGGGTTGATAAAATAAGTAGGTATGTGTAAAAGTGCTCTTTGTGAGAATACTTACATCAAATTAACGATTTGAATAAAAAAATTATTAATTCTTGTACACTCACAAATTCATCTTAAACTTTAAACACACTAATAGCTGTGACGAAATTGTGAAACTGTTTACAATTATTGGTGTCATTGTCATTTTTTATTGGTCCGTGCTGTAAGATGTTTTATCACAGTTGTATTCCTATTAGAAAGCACTATTAACCTGAAACCTGACTTTAGCCGTAACTATTTTTTATTTATTTATTTAAAACTTTTGCGACATGAAATTTTTAAACTTAACTCTTTCAACACAAAGGTTAAAAAAACACATCTTTTGTTGAAATCGGCTAAAAATATCTCAAAAAGACTTATCATCTGCAAAATTGTCTGTCTGATATCAACTTTGTGATATATTTGGCATTATAAATAAATTATAAGTAGATATATTATCAATAAAACATGACAAGTTGCCAGTGCCAGGGTTGTCAAAACTCTCTCAATCTTTTTTCAATCTATACTAATATTATAAATGCGAAAGTAACTCTGTCTGTCTGTCTCACTTTCACGCTTAAACCACCAAACCGATTTTGATGAAATTTGGCATAGAGATAGTTTGAGTCCCGGGAAAGGACATAGGATAGTTTTTATCCCGGTTTTTGAAAGAGGGACACGCGCGACAAAGTTTTTCTGTGACAGACATACTTCCAGGCGGGTGAAGCCGCGGGCGGAAAGTACTTTATAAAGGCAGTCGGAATATAGCTCCCACCAAATGTTTTGCCCATTCCCACATTTTTTCCCAAAGCAGTGGTATTGTCAAAATTATTTGAGTAAGTAAAAGCACTTTTACAAGCCTTACACCCGTCTCACGTGTGCGTGGACCCACAGAGTGTCACACAAACCAATGATAGAGCTCTATTCAACACTGTGCGTTCGATTTGCTGCTTCGCTTAAGCAAGCATCGTTTGTGAATATGGGCGTAAATGCCTTTGGTAATAATTCCTATTTTATAGCCATTCTACTAATGTAAAGAAATGTTTTTGTGAAACTAAACCGCTGGCAATTAATTGTTAAGACGTGAACGTTCGATTAAAAATAATGTCTTTTTTCACTATGATAACCCTAGCAATCTTGCCAACCTTATCTCAAGTGCTATTGCCGAAAATTATCAATCAATCATCTATTATGATATTACGATATGATATCAGTCGATTCTAGCCATAACATTTAATTATCAATCTATACTACATTGAGAAGGTTAATAAACTAGCTTTTGCCCGCGGCTTCACCCGCGTGGAACTTAGTTTGTCACATAATATCGTCATAAATGATAGCCTATATGTTATTCTGAGTTATAAACAATATTACTATAAAGTTTCAACAAAATTCGTTTAGTAGTTTTTGCGTGAAAGAGTAACAAACATCCAGACATCCAAACTTTCGCATTTATAAAATTAGTAGGATATTTATTTAATTTGTTAGGACAGCAATATAATTCACATTAGATGTGATTAAATATTAGTTTATTATGATAAATTTTGTCTAACGTTAGACTGGCTGTGCCCGCGACTTTGTTCGCGCGAAAATCGTTTTTGAATATTTTTCCCGGTTTTGCATCATTTTTCTTTATTGTTCCGTCCCTATTAGCTGAAGGGTGATGTTATAGCCTAAAGCCTTCCTCGATTAAGGGGCTATCGAAAAAAAAAATATTTTTTCAAATCGGACCAGTACTTCCTAAGAACCAAACAAACTCTTCAGCTTATTTTTGAGTATACTATAATATTTAGATTTATAAATCAATACCCTCGATTATCTATTTAAAATCTTTATTGCACACACAAAAAAAATGCGGTACAAAAGGCGAACTTAATGCCATGTGGCATTCTATACCAGCTGACCTTAGCCAATTTGAGTAGGTATTGCAAAATAGCATTAATACAAACTTGCATACTTATTATGTTGTTTCAAATTAGATGCAGGCCGCCACCAACCGGCCATTGTGGAAATCATTGGGGGAGGCCTATGTTCAGCAGTGGACGTCATATGGCTGAAATGATGATGATGATGATTAGTTTCAGTAATTCACTGTTAGTCACTTGAAGTCTAATATTAAGAACGGACACTTCACTCCGTCAAAACAAAACACTTGATAAATAACTTTCAATTAGCTGCTAATTGCGTAATTAACCAGCGTTATTGCAACCGCTTAGCTAGGCCAATAATGAATGACTACCAAAAGTTTAAAGCGAGGATTTTAATAGGTTTAAAAAAATAACCAAAGTGTACTCTTTCTTTGTTTTATCATCAGCTTTGCACTGGATGGAAGTCGAACCTTAACTTCGAACTCCTCCTATGTTCTTCTATTTAATTTCGATGCGGGTCCAATGACAGTATGACTTTCCCCCGGGACAAACTTGACCTTCACTGGTTGGGTTATTGGCGGTCAAGCTGTAGATCCTGGCTACACAAGAGTTGCAGCGGTGGGAACGGGAGGTGGGAATAGTCCCGTTTTACTACAGTTCTCGTATAGAAAAATATTTCATAGCGTACTCCTCAACTTCGTAGAGACGTTCTAAACGTGCTAATTGATAGTCTTGTTACGCCTGACGCTTGAACGTGGGAAAATTGGTGCTAATTTACGAATTTAGCGACCAACCGCACAGTTTGTGATGATGAGTGTATAAATACATCGTTCGTTTTTAATTCCGTCCACTGCTGGACAAAGGTCTCACTCACGGGTTTGGGAGACCTGAACAACGAGATTCAGTAAAAAAAAACTCATTAAAACTCATTTATTTCTGTAAGTAGGATTTAAAAAAGCACTTTTACACGTCCCAGTATTAACCCTACCACTGCTTCAGGACAATAAATGGGCCAGTGCTGAGAAGAAGCAGCGCAAGAAACTCAGACACTATTGTCAGCCTCTTTTTCAAAGGTTTACAGGTTTTCAAAATACATAGTTATAAATATTTATGCGAGCTAGGCAGTTACGCATCCCAAACATTTTTATCTTTTAAATAATCATCGACTTTATAGTAGCTCTTTTTCATTAAGGTACTTTTAATATGTTCGTTTCAGCCAAATGACGTCCACTGCTGGACAAAGGCCTCCCCCAAGGTTTTCCACAATGAACGGTCCTGCCACGGTAATACTATCTATACAGTATTCCAACTCGGCCATATTTTTGAAATAAATGTCAACAGCCCCGCGGTACGTCACGGTATGACAACATGCGATAGGGCTGCTCACCGTAGTACCCATTCAAATTACATCTGTCTACTAAGAATTTCTATCTAGTTTTGTGATTGTAATTTTTTTTTTATTTAGGCAAACAAAATACTTTGTGAATGGAATAGGATAAAAATGCGTGTTGTTTTGTGATTAGTAGATTTAATTTTAAAAAATATACTAAAATAATTTTGAATCTACTAATCATAATGAAGTACTTAATGACCTGTTACTTTAATTTCGGGCTGGCGAAGTCGTTGGCCAAAGCTGGTTTTATGCAATACTAGCGGCCGCCCGCGACTTCGTACGCGTGGATCCCGTTTTACCCCCTTCATCTATCTTACACGGTTAAGATTTTTTCATACAAATGTTTTTTCCCGCTAACTCCCGTTCCCGTGGGAATTTTGCAATATCCTGTTGTAACTAAGCTTTAAGTTTACTAAGGTACCTGCATACCAAATTTCAAGCGTCTATCTTACGCGGTTTAGATTTTTTCATACAAATGTTTTTTCCCGCCAACTCCCGTTCCCGTGGGAATTTTGCAATATCCTGTTGTAACTAAGCTTTAAGTTTACTAAGGTACCTGCATGCCAAATTTCAAGCGTCTAACTTAAGCAGTTTAGATTTTTCATACAAAAATATTTTCCCGCTAATTCCCGGTCCCGTGGGAATTCCTAAGTATCCTATAACCTGCCCAGGAGTATGAAGAATAATTGTACCAAGTTTCGTTAAAATCCGTCAAGTAGTTTTTGTTTCTATAAGGAACATACAGACAGACAGACAGACAGACAAAAATTTTACTGATTGCATTTTTGGCATCAGTATCGATCACTAAATTAATCACCCCCTGATAGTTATTTTGAAAATATATTTCATGTACAGAATTGACCTCTCTACAGATTTATTATAAGTATAGATAATTTTCATTTCAAATCGAACTGACTGAAAATGACCATTTCTGACAGTTAATGACTAGTTTTTGACAAATTTGATCGTTTAAGACGGTCAGTCAAATTCAATCACCTTATTCATTTTCAACACTAGGCCATCGACGTCCGTTCGGCACATTCGCGACACCCCTAACTTTTGGATCTCGGCCACGTCCCGTGATTTGAAATTCGAAGGAAAACTCGCGTTTTGTCGGTTTATATGAAGTTACAATACTGTATGATATTATTACCGTGGTCCTGCGCTGCCCGCAACTTTTAATATGTGCTTTGAATTTATGAATGGGTAGTTCTACAACAAATTAAATGGTAATTTATTAAATAATTTCATACATTTCCCCATAAATGAATTCCCAATCTTATGCAGTCTGAAATTTGGAACGGCAAGTTTATTTTTGTTTCTTGTATTAAATTTATTCATTAATAATATAGGTCTAGTGCATAACTGAGGCAGTGCCTGAGGCATGGGAGCGGCACGGGAGGGTGTTTTTGTGACTTCAATCGTCATTATGTTATGTTACCGACTCCGTTAAGCCCTACATATACCTAATAGGAGCAGTTCGAAAGAGTTACGGGACTACTCTCCGTTCCCACCGCTGCAACTCCTGTGTAGCCAGGATCTACAGCTTGACCGCCAATAACCCAACCAGTGAAGGTCAAGTTTGCCCGGCGAAAAGTTAAACATTCACTGAAGAACATAATAAGATGAGTTCGAAGTTAAGGTTCGACTTCCTTCCATAGAGAGTTATGACCGTTTTACCCCCAAATTTTTAAGTGACCCTTATGGTAACACAACAGGAATTTTGTTTCCATAGGGGTCACTTAAACATTAGTAATTGATGGTGAAAACGGGCATTAGTTTGCTCAATGATCGCCCCTAACTTCATCTTTTGTCCACAGAAAAGTACCCCCAAATCAAGAAATTATTCGGCTACGACCCGCTCTTCAAATGGGTGGTGACGGCCATGGTGCTGACACAAATACTGATGATGCCGATTGTCCAGAGACTGAGCTGGCCAGTTGCGATGGTGCTGGCTTACTGCTTTGGAGGAGTCATCAACCACTCACTCATGTTGGGTAAGTAGCTTATGAATAATGTTTAATTAAGGATTTACCACACTCCAGTCGTCGCTTGCTCAAACAGAGCCAGCCACAGTCTGGGGAGGACTCGCGAAAGAATGTCCACTGTCTAAAGTCCGGTCGCCGAGCACGTATAATTTCGTCGAATGACCCCGAGCTACCCATCCTTATCGCTCGCGCGTAATTATATTACTGTCGCGCTCGCACACACACTACGGCCGTCCGTCGCACAGTTGCAACAGTAATATAATTATGCGCGAGCGATAAGGATGGGTAGCTCGGGGTCATTGGTCAACATAGACCTCCCCCAATGACTTCCACATCGCACGGTTGGTAGCGGCCTGCATCCAGCGCCTCCCTGCTACCTTTCTCAGATGATGATGATAGATAGATAGAAAGTATTTATTTGTATTAAAATTTTCCGCAGTTGACACTTCATGTCATGTCACACATTAATTTATCGAACAACAACTTTTTATTAGAGGTACGAAGTTCGCCAAGACAGCTGGTCTGTTAATAAATGACTAAGTTCTGAAGTAACAAACATAAATTATCTTTATTGACATGAATAAAATTGCATGTGGACAAGCCATGATCGGATGATTAAGGTTACGCGGTACATAAAGGTAACACTGGTCAACAAAAAAACAACTTTTGCATGTAACATGAAAACTTTTGTCTGGTTATGATTAGGACAAGGATAAGGATACTAGAAATACAATTTAAATGTTTTAAATACGAATAGTTTTTTTGTAATACCATTTTATAACATTTTAGAAATTTTGAATTTTTATCAACAAAAAGAAGTTATTTCGATTTATTGCAACATTAATATGAATTTCCTTTTATGATTTTCGTCTGTATTTTGCTTCAGGAATGTCTCGTTTTAATGTCCAACAGTAATCCGCTAACATTCGTGGGCTCCACTTGCTTTGATATCGTTTTTCCATGGTAGAAGTCTTGATAGAATCTTTCACCGTGTTCATCGCTGATGGCGCCCAAATTTTCAGGGAAGAAGTCTAAATGTGAATGAAGAAAATGTATTTTCAATGATATATTACAGGCCAAAGCCTTATAAGTAGATAAAAGCTCCGCAATAGTACATTTATGGTCACTTAATCGGTGATTTCCTAGAAAATTTGAAGTTACTTTAATGAAAGATTCCCAAGCTGATTTTTTTTTAAATTACTAAGCTTTTCTTTAATTAATATAATTATCATCTTTCATCAATTGCCTGATTGGAGGGCCAACAAATATGCCCTCAAAGTCAGGATCCAATGTGTCTTTTCGATTTTTGGCGTAACGGCCAGATCGCTAGTTTGAGGTGGTTCTGGTAGCGGACTACCGGTAGATGTTCATTATGAGGATCGGTCTTTTAGCTGAAGGCAGGTCAGGATACTTAATTTTACTTTTTGGTTTAATTGTTATACCTTTTTTGTACCAGTAAGACAAAAATAACAATCAGATGATTTGTTCGTTGGTTCCAACCAAATCATAGGGATTGCAAAAGGCATAGATCGAGATCTTTTCGCCCACCCAGTGAAAAGACCCACATATGTAACACAACAGATGTATGGAACCCTCACTTTGTCTTGTTGTCCGATGGAAAAGCCAAAATACTGTTTATATAACTTAGTTACTAATGGTGTCAAATTCCTTCGCTGAGTTTTGATTGTAATGTCACCACAAATTTAAAAAAACTTGTAAGGATCATCTTTGCACTTTCTTGACATTATTTAAGAATCACTTAACTCTAAAAACAGAACAAAACACTACGCTCTTCAAATAAACAATTTCTCTGAATGCGAAAGTGAAACAAAAACGTTTAATTTTTAATTTTGTGGGTAGTAGCTGTAACACGAAAACTAGACGTAATGAAATCAAAATAAATATGGGAATAAATTGAGGGTAGGTAGGTAATTTAAAATTAGCAAGCATCTTTCTTGTTACAAAATTTTGTTGACCAGTGTAATTATTACAGCTATCACAGTTGCACCTTAATCATCATCATCATCATCTCAGCCATAGGACGTCCACCGCTGAACATAGGCCTCCCCCAATGCTTTCCATGTTGCCCGGTTGGTAGCGGCTTGCGTCCAGCGCTTTCCTGCTACCTTTATGATGTCGTCGGTCCACCTTGTGGGTGGACGTCCCACGCTGCGTTTTCCGGTACGCGGCCTCCACTCCAGAACCTTGCTGCCCCATCGGCCGTCAGTTCTGAGTACTATGTGCCATGCCCATTGCCACTTCAGCTTGCTAATCCGTGGGGCTATGTCAGCGACTGTAGTTCGTTTACGGGTCTCCTCACAGTTGCACCTTACCCCCTGGTAATAGGTGTTATTTTGCAACAAAAATGCATGGTCTGATGAGCTATACTTGACTTTTCTCGGTAACGTATTGGTATTGGTTATCGATTTCCTTTACGATAACGGTTCACGGTATTTGCGTATAGATTTGTAAAGGTTTATTGTGTTTTGAATGCTAGTTTTGACTCACGATTCTTCCTTGTTATTAGGGTAATAATAATTACTCAAGTTTGACTTAAGGTCCTATGTCCCCTAGATGGCGCAGAGGGCGTCCACAACAGTCCTCCATCGCGTTCGGTCTTGAGCTTCGCGTTTGATCTCGCTCCAGGTCTTGCCGATTTTCTTTATTATATCCCTTAGGATTCCACTTTGCTCACCTGGGTGAGCGTCCAGGATGGCGAGAGATTGTGAAGAGGCGAGTCCAAGTGTTCGAGGAGCAGCGTACGACTGAACTCGACGCGAAGCGCGATGACTTCAAGTCATCGGCCCGTCCATCTGCCGCCATTCACTATAACTATATTGGCGGCGTGCTCAGTTGCCCTCAATGTGCGAGGGGGTTTGCCGCGAAGTTCGGCTGCGTAAGCCATCTTCAGGCACACCAGCGCCGCCAAGACAGCTAGGAGTCGGAGCCGCCATGGCCGAAATCGGTCGATGGATCAATCATCATCATCAATATCACCTGGGTGAAATGGTGATATGAGAACTTCGCGATATTTTCACGTCCGAAATACCGCAGTCTCAAGACAAAAGTCTTTGACCAGTGTGTGTTGCCAGTGATGGTATACGGATCTGAGACGTGGTCGCTTACTGTGGGCCTCATACTCGTAAGAAAGCTCAAAATCACCCAAAAGGCGATGAAGGGTGCTATGCTCAGAGTTTCCCTGCGTGATCGAATCAGGAATGAGGAGATCCGCAGGAGGACAAAAGTGACCGACATAGCCCGCAGAATCGAAATCAAGTGGCAGTGGTTGATAGCGGCCTGCATCCAGCGCATTCCCGCTACCTTTATGAGGTCGTCTGTCCACCTTAATCTATACCATGTACCAGTAATAATGGTTTAATGTTAAATTAGTTGTACGATGTTATCCACTGATAACAGCACTCCTGAATCGCAATCACTTTTGAGAGTTTTATCTTATCACGGTCTATGGCACTTCAAACCGATTGTGTAGGATTTTCCCGACTTTCGAGTAATAAAACTTCATAAAACTCATTTTATTTTTGCAAGTTGGCTTTTAAAAGCACTTTTACACGTCCCAGTATTAACCCTACCACTGCTTCAGGACAATAAATGGGCCAGTGTTGAGAAGAAGCAGCGCAAGAAACTCAGTCACTATAATAATTCTGCGTAAGCCACGATAGCCGAACGGTGAAGAGGTTCGACGCGGATTCGAACCCCGTCGTCGCTCGACTATTGTGGTGAATCCACTCGGAACAAGTATATTCAGCTTACCACGAGGGGTTAACGGGATTTTTTTATGCATAACATGGCAGGTATTTGACCACAATCGCACCTGATGTTAAGTGTGATGCAGTCTAGGTACATATCTGCGCTGTAAGTGCCTATTCACTCTCGCCTTGAAAAGACCCGGATTATAGTCTTCGGGAAAGACAGCAGCAGGCAGCGAATTCCAGTCCCTAGCTGTTCGCATTATAAAAAAATCGTCGAAACGCTTAGTAACAGATAAACGGATTATCTCTATACGAATGTTATCTCTATACGAATGTCGAAAGTGACCCTTTCATACAGGTATTTATTTAATTTCGGGACTATCTTGCGTCCCTGATGAAATCCACACGGTATTAAAACATACATAGGCATTGTTTTATCAAACTTGAGCATCTAGGATCATCTAAGATTCTGAAACTAATTCGAAAGAAACAAATTTTTTTTTTGCGAAAATGTGTTTACATCAGTAGGTGTTACAATTTTTCAAGTAGGTATCTCCATCTTCCACCTTTAGGCATGCAAAATTATTACTGTAATTGTCATTTACATTCATTAACAAAATATAATTCACATTTATAAAAACTAATGTCAGAAAACTCAGGGTCAATAATTACATTAATGTCAATTCAAGAATAATAAATTAAAAATACTAAAATTACCTATATAATGTCAACTACATTGTACTTGGTATGTCAAAAGTATTAGATTTGGACTAGGTACATACATTACAAACACATGAAACTGTCCAGGAGGAATTCGCTAATCGAATAATACGCCTTATCTACCAACAACTTATGAAGACATTCCCTGAACGAGAATAAGTCCTCCTTATTTCTTATACCCTGTGGCAGTTTATTATAAATACGGGGTGCCATTCCTGAAATATTTTTCGTAAATTGTCCGAAGTTAAAATGACTGCTTTTGAACAAACGTTCCTCAATTATACTGACTCCTTTAACACATTTGACCTGTAACAGTTAGCTTCGCCTATTGTATGACATCGTGATCGCATAGAAAATATTATAAGTCTAACGCTTAATGAGGGCTATCGTTTTAGCGCTCACCAGTTAGCGCCACTGTAGAGTAAGGTCCTGTCACTTGCTAGTAGCGAAGACAGTGGCACCAACTGGTGAGCGCGAAAGTGGTAGGAGGACTATCGCAATTGCACTCATCCAGATGGCGCCACTGTACAGTAAGGTCCTGTCACTTGCTAGTAGCGAAGACAGTGGCACCAACTGGTGAGCGCGAAAGTGGTAGGAGGACTATCGCATTTGCACTCATCCAGATGGCGCCACTGTAGAGTAAGGTCCTGTCAATCGCCAGGGGTGCCAACTGTTAAGTATAAAAACGATAGCCCTCATTGAGTCAGTGCCTGAGGCATGGGAGCGGCACGGAAGGGTGTTTTGTTACGTCAAATGACAACGAGACTTCAGACTGTACTGGGAAATTCAAACACCATGAATTAACACATGCAGAAACCGCACCGCAACGACTATTATTAGATAAAACGTCATCAAGGTCAACAGATATTGGTGGATTTTGTCATATCTATCAATGTCATGTCAAAAATAACCAATCATGCAGCATTTGGACCTCGCGTCTACGTATTGCCATCTGGCGGATTTTTCATTCGCCAAAACCCTCATTGTAACACAGACGTGTTGCGAACTTTTTTGTACTTTGGGTGTCAAAAAAAGGCAGGTATTTGACCGCAATTGCACCTGATGTTAAGTGTGATGAGTCTAGGATGGTACCTGTAAGTGCCTGTTCACTTTCGCCTTGAAGAAACCCTGATTATAGTGTACTGGAAAGACAGCAACAGGCTGTAGCAAATTCCAGTCCCTAGTTTTTTTTTATCTACAACGAGGAAGCTCTTGGCCTGTATCTCACCTGATGGTAAGTGACGATCAGGCCGAAGGTGGAAGCGAGCTTTACCTGGAATCCTCAACCACGGAGGAACTGGCTACCTTACCTCTAACTGCCGGAACACAACAATGCTGTTAACATTGTTGTTATGGCGACAGACTTAGGTAAGATGGTGGTAGCTAGCCAGGCGGACTTAGAACAAGCCCTACCACCAAGCAAACCGAACAGAAAAATCTGCCCCCACTGGGAATCGAACCCGGGACCTCTGCGTCTGAAGCAGGTTGTAGTTGTCCGCATTATAAGACTGATTTCTGTGGTCCCTCACCATTTGTCCCCCACTGGTGGAAATCTGGAAAAAATTTAGGGAGTAGGTACAGACGATGGCACGTCAAGGTAACCACTGTGGGTTCTTGTGCAGTTGTAATAGGGGCGAGTTTGAAACAAAAATGGGTAACCTGATGTGCTGTCGTGTGTACATAAATTGAAATAGGCACAGAAGAAGACATTAACCAGTTCTGTTGTTTTTCCTTTCAGCTATCCACGAGATCGCCCATAACCTAGCATTTGGCCACAACAGGCCGCTCCACAACCGACTGTTCGGTTTCTTCGCCAACCTGCCCATCGGGATACCTATATCCATCAGCTTCAAGAAATACCACCTGGAACACCATAGGGTAAGTATTTTATCATCATCATTTCAGCTATAGGATGTCCACTGCTGAACATAGGCCTCCCTCAATGATTTCCATAATGAGCGGTTGGTAGCGGCCTGCATCCAGCGCCTTCCTGTTACCTTTACCTTGTTACCTTTATAAGGTCGTCGGTCCATCTTGCGAGTGGATGTCTAGTCCAGAAACTTGCTGCCCCATCGGCCATCAGTTCTCTCTCAGTCAGGCCGTCAGTATTTATTACATAGTAAACAGAGGCTGACAAAGGCGATTTTCTTGCTCTGCTTCTTCTCAGCACATGCCAATTTATTGTCCCGAAGCAGTGGTAGTGGTACCGCTGCAACTCCTGTGTAGCCAGGATCTACAGCTTGACCGCCAATAACTCAACCAGTGAAGGTCAAGTTTGTCTCTGGGGAAAGTTAAATTCGCAACGAAATTAATCAGACATCAGACTTTTTAATACGATTATTTTATCTATCAATAAATCCATCTTAATATCTATTTAAGTGACATAGATATGAGTATTATGTCGTAGACATTGTACAGTTCATAGAAATCGCTATCCGTATCAATCACAGGTGTCTGGTGATAACACCAGTAACTATAAGCACCTTATCTTAATAATTGTGTTCAATAACCGACTATTATGCTCTTATCAGCATGTATCTAACTCGATTGCTTACACTGATAACGGCTGTTTTAAAAATACACAAATAAAATAATTTACATTATAAACTAAAAAAAAACTAGTAAAACATATTTTATTTTTGCAAGAAGGCTTTTAAAAAGCACTACACGTCCCAGTATTAACCCTACCACTGCTTTATAGGCCAGTGCTGAGAAGGCAAAATTTTTGGTGTTCGGACACGTTTAGCTACTAAATAACTCGCTACTCGACTAAATAACTCGACTAGTGCGAACAAGGCTTAAGTTCGAGCCTAAAGTCCGGTCGCCGAGCAGATAGACTTTCGTACAATGACCATTGCGACGGGCGACCGCAGTGTGTGTGCGAGCGCAACAGCAATATAATTACACGCGAGCGATAAGGATGGGTAGCTTGGGGTCATTGTACGAAATTCTATCTGCTCGGCGACCGGACTTTAGCAGACTAAAATATATTTATTGTTTATTACAGTACCAAGGCGACGAAGTCATAGACACAGACTTGCCCACGCTGTTGGAAGCGAAGCTTTTTTGTACCACTGGTGGGAAACTGCTGTGGCTGCTTCTCCAGCCGTTGTTCTATTCCATCCGCCCACTGGTGGTCCGGCCTAAGCCGCCGTCGCCGTTGGAGCTCGTCAACCTTGTCATTCAACTGTTCTTCGATGCTGTGGTCGTGCAGATGTTTGGTGAGTCTTCATCATCATCATCATTCGGTCAGATCATGGTGGCTTAAAACCGTTCGTTTAAAACAGTAAATACAAATGAGTAGGTCACATACAAACCGCGCTCGGTGCGTTTCTATGAAGATGACCTACTCATTTGTATTTTACTCTGTTTAAAAGTATAAAAAGTCACGTTGTTCATTGAAAATAAATCTACATTGTTTGTTGTAGGTTGGAAAGTCCTTGCCTATATGGTCTTAGGATCGCTAATGGCTATGGGAATCCATCCAGTGGCTGGTAAGTGGTCTATCTTACTATTTTACTTTTTATTAATATTACTAATATTATAAATGCGAAAGTTTGTGTGGATGTCTGGTTGTTTGTTACTCTTTCACGCAAAAACTACTGAACGGATTTTGATGAAACTTTACAGTGTTATTATAATAATAATAATAATAATAATAACTTTATTTATTTCTCTCTTTACAAAATACATAAAGTCACAATTTGTAACGGGTAATTATAACAACAAGGAACAAAAATAAGTATTTCGTAGAGACTGGTGTCCGTACTAGGATACCCTGTGCTACAGCACACCAGGCCTCCACCACCGGCTAATCGATACTGCGTGGTTGTGTTAATCTATTTAAGGTAAGTATTTTATATTAGAAACAAACTAAAAATAAAAAAAAAATAAAAAAAATAGAATGATAACATGTGATTTACACAAATAGGCAAAATAAATGTAAAGAAGTACTATTTCAAAAATTTAAACTTTAACTTTAAAAGCAATCTTACTTTCTAATCTTTTGTGTAAGTGTGTGTGTGTATGTGCGTGCGTGTGTGTGTGTGTGTGTGTGTGTGTGTGTGATATGTTACGGCTAAAGATAGTTGTGAACATAATCTTAAGATTAGCCGGCTAAACTTAAGTTTATCTTCGAGATGCAGCTAAAGTTCGATAACATGTTAATTTGCGTCGTGATATTCCATCTTTAGCCGGCTAATGTGCACATTAGCCAAAACGAAACGGCTAAAAATGTTTTCGACTAGCGGCCGCCCGCAACTTCGTACGCGTGGATCCCGTTTTACCCCCTTCATCTATCTTACGCGGTTTAAATTTTTTCATACAAATGTTTTTTCCCGCTAACTCCCGTTTCCGTGGAATTTTTGCAATATCCTGTTGTAATTAAGCTTTAAGTTTACTAAGGTACCTGCATGCCTTTCAAGCTAACTTAAGCGGTTTAGATTTTTCATACAAAAGGATTTTCCCGATAATTCCCGTTCCCATGGGAGTTTCGGGAATTCCTTTCTTAGTGCACCTCTACGGTACCTAAGCTACATCCCTTCCAAATTTCAAGTGCCTACGTGTAATGAAAGTGATTATCGAAATATATAAAAGGAGAAACTGACTGACTTAGTGACAGATCAACGCACAGCCTAAACGGCTAAACGAAGGCACTTGAAATTTGGAAGGGACGTAGCTTAGGTACCGTAGAGGTGCACTAAGAAAGGAATTCCCGAAATTCCCACGGGAACGGGAATTAGCGGGAAAATCCTTTTGAATGAAAATTCTAAACCGCTTAAGTTAGACGCTTGAAATTTGGCATGCAGGTACCTTAGTAAACTTAAAGCTTAGTTACAACAGGATATTGCAAAATTCCCACGGGAACGGGAGTTAGAGGGAAAAAACATTTGTATGAAAAAATCTAAACCACGTAAGATAGACGCTTGAAATTTGGCATGCAGGTACCTTAGTAAACTTAAAGCTTAATTACAACAGGATATTGCAAAATTCCCACGGGAACGGGAGTTAGCGGGAAAAAACATTTGTAACGAAAAATCTAAACCGCGTAAGATAGATGAACTGGGTAAAACAGTGGGCTAATTCAAATGCATTTGTCGAGAGTAGAAATCGTCTGTCAAATAATTTTCTAGTAATCAATTTTGAACTGATTGTCAAGGTAATACAGTTGAAAATTGAATATCAAAGCCAGACTACGCCTAATGTCAGATCAGCCGATGGTAGATGCCAAATTTCCAATATCGCGTACGAAGACGGAGAACTTTGTCAATATAGTGGTACATAAGGGTCATAATTAGTGGATGCCGACGATTTTCGCGCTGTCATCTCAACGACTGCCCACCCAGGATTCACGCGTACGAAGCCGCGGGCGACCGCTAGCTTTTTAAAAAAGTTTTCGTGTCAAAATGGTAAACATTATTACATTGTTTCCTTTTCCATTTCCTTCTACATTTTTAGCCAAGGGCCTGCGGTTACACTTAAGTTTAGCCGGCTAAAGATAGAAGAAACTAACATTAACACCTCGTCGAAGATAAACTTAAGTTTAGCCGGCTAATCTTAAGTTTATGTTCACGCCTATCTTTAGCCGTAACAGTGTGTGTGTGTGTGGGTGTGTGTTATGTGTTAGTTATTGTATTGTTTTAATAAAAGCCTCACTTTCTTCGTAATTTTTAGATATTAACCATTCGGTTAGAAGTTTCTTGCATTCTACTTTTGTTAGTGGATATATATTAAGTAAACGATTAATTTTGTTATATAGATATGGTCCCAAAAAGCAAAAGAATTTTTTGGCAAAAGTTGTTCTAAACCCTTTAAGAGTACATACAATATCTTTACGTCTAATTAGTTGTGTCCTGGGGTCATAAGATGTTTTTGAGTGTTGTTTTAATATTATTTGGAGTATGAATAGCTGTCGGATTGAGAGTACACTCCACTCCCTATATAGGTCATTTGTTGGATGAAGGTAGTGTTTGAAGGTCGCTACTTTAAGAATGGCTCTTTGGGCAACTTCTAGGGATTTTAGGTCCGTTTTGGCTGCGCCACCCCAGCTAGAGATACAATAAACAAACACTGATTGACATAGAGCATAATATACTGAACGAATTATCTCAAAATCGGCGAAGTGGCGGAGTATTTTAAAAACATATGTGAGTTTGTATGCTTTCGAAGAAAGCTGTTCCAGGTGGCAGCGAAAATTAAGATGTTGGTCAATGATAACACCTAAGTATTTGATATTCGTAGCACTTTTAAGATTATTACAGTTACATGTAGAGGTGTCAATACAAGTATGTGCTGTAAGAGCCAGATTTTTATCCACTGGAAGAGCCGCTTTGCGGATGCCGAATGTTATATATTTAGTTTTGTCTGTATTAATTGTCAGTAAATTGCCTTT